GGGTATAATAAAAATGATGGCGTTTGACTTTGTTGCAGTTTTTTTATCTCACTCTGTATACAATGTTCTGCCACCAAAATAGTTTCCATTACGAACTCTAAATACCGAATTCAAAACAGGTTTCTTAATTCGTCGAATGTGGGGAGGTAATATTGTATGGGGGCCGAATACCGGGAAGTACTAATATTACCCATCTTCGCACTTGGTTTTCTTGCAGAAAAAAAATACTTCTGAGCAAAATCTCAGATTCTTATCCCCAGTCTTTTGAACTCTGGCGTGATTACAATAGACAAACAGATGAACATGATTAAATCAACTTAAAATTTTGCGCTTGTAGGCACGGTTGTCACAGTTGGTAGAATTCTACCAAAATGGGTAACTTTTATAGGTGCTGGTAACTTCGCTCTTGTTGTGGTAACTTTTAAGATATAAAATCACGATTTTATCATTTTCCGAATTTCTCATCAACAACTATGTGAAGTGACACCAAATTATTTAACGGCACACCTCTATCACATATGTATGCTGTGCGGATTGACTTTGATATATTATTTTTTAATACACACTATCTTTGAAGTTTGAATCGGTTCGCTAAATTCCATTTTTTCGGAAAGATATTACGCACCTTGGGTACATTAGACTTTCATCATATTATATAATACTTGGAATTTATATCCTAATCGGAACAGATTATCATCAATTTCAATGAGGCACGTTTTTGGATCGAATAAATAAACTGTGCAAAATTTGATCTTAACCGAACAACAAACTCCGACCTGTACTTGGATTCTAAAAATGCATGTGAGAACGGACATATATAAATCGACTTAATAGGTGATTCGATGAAGATCATGAAAAGTACTTTTGATGATCATCATTGAATGTAGACCCGCTCGTTGTGTTACAATCAAATGAACCACAGTGTGAAGTAGGGTATAACAATTGATAAATAAATTACAGTGTAAATTGTACCCCTAGCCATTTGCATTTTACTCCTCAAAGCGTATACTTAATTGAAATATCCATATAATATTAGTCATACGCACAGTGTCCTATGTCAGTTGATATATATTTACACGTCCAAATTCATAAAAAAATCCATATCAATTTTCAGAATAATGAATATCGGAACGGGATTTTAAAGATTACATGGTGTCTTCATTCATGCTATTCACACCATTTTTTTCTATGCAACCGATGGAATTGATATCAACAAAAGTAACAGTCAGTGTGTAATTCAGCAGATACCCAAAATCGTTATTCACATTTTCGCTACTCCCTTGTGGCTAATTGTACGCCCACCTGTTCCAGGCGAAATTGAATCCTTTATTAATTAGATTTCCAAGATCATCTACCAACACCACCAAGTACATATACCTATTTAATTACGAAAATGATGTTTAACAAAAGAAATGTCTATGAAATAGTACATGGGTAGTATATTTTTTCGAATGACATTGGTGCGTAGCTGGCACACGGGGAAATCTGTCTGCAAAACAGAACGCTGGCAGCGACAGTAGCAGCGCCGTCACAGAACAACAACAGCAGAAGACGCCAACAGAGTATCAATGCAAACACATTAGACGTAGCACTGCTACTTGGTATGACTGTTTCAGGTTGAAACATCGTGTCGTGAGACAGAGAGAGGGAGAGAATCACATTTGTGTTTGTTTATTTTCTTTGCGAGTATCGTTATCACGTTTGAGAAACACGTGCTTTTCCCTCCATACAATAATAGCCAGCGAAAGCAACAACAACGACAACAATAAGTAAAACCAAAAAAGCACCAAGCAAAAGAACGAAACGATTGTTTGATTGCAGCTTAAACAACAATAACAATATCTGTTAATAACAGAAACGAGCAGCAAATGAGACGTAGCGAAGAGTGAGTTCTCCTCGTACATTGAACATTGAATGGATGCAATACACTTTACACTGTATGCGAAGTGTAGTATGTATGTTTATTAGGGTGTATCGTAAAGGGTTTTTTAGACATATTTTGTAAAATTTTAAAAAACCTCAAAATATGATTTTTTTCTGCTCTATAAAAAAAATAAACGGAAACATTGGTGTGTCACAGATTATTTATTTATTATAATTATTATAATTATTATTATTATTATTTTTTTTTTGCAATTTATAATCTCTCTATTACAAATGAATTAAAAACCACTTCTTCGGTGACTTCCTTTAAAAAACAGAAAAAGTCGGACGGAACACACTATATGATACCCTACTGAAATCCGAAAGCAATATAATTAGACAAACGTTACATGGTTGGTGCATCATTTATATCAAATTGGTTGGAAATATATATCGGATCTATATCCAAATTTTAATCGATTTTATTAACATTTGATGTAGGTATTCCAGACTACATCTAACATCTCGTACCGAATATCACTGTCAAATATCTTATGGCTATGAGGCATGGAGGTACATCTACAGTGTGAGATAAATAGAACGGCATCAAAATCAAACGCCATAACTTTTACATTTTTTTTTTTAAATTTTATTAATTGAAAGCAAAAAATGTCGGAAATAGCATCAAAATTTAGAATAAGTTTAGATTTGCGAAGCGCTTGCTTGAGGTGATCGACACTTTGGTATTTTGTAGTGCTAACCTTGTTTTCCAAATTACACCAGATACAATAGTCCAAGAGATTGGTATCCGGAGATTTTGGTGGCCATTGTGCGGAAATGATGCGAGAATCACCATTTTGTAACAATTCTTGGGTGGCGCGTGCTGCGGCTAAAACGTTTGCGTGCCCAAGGCTTTAACACACCCTTCAGAATATTTTCGCGATAATATTCGGCATTTATTCTAATGCCACAAATTAGGAAGTTCACCACTTTCGGCCAAGCGAAGCAACTCTTTAGCTTTTTTGAGTCTATTTTCTTTTTGTTGCGGTGTAAGTTCTTGCACTTTTTGGAATTTTAATGGCTTTACTCCGAGCTCATTTTTTAATATTTGCCAAATGGAATAATGCGATATGTTCAGCTCACGAGCCATCTTTCGGCCACTGCGACGAGGGTTTCGATCAAGTCGCTTCTTTACTTTTTGAACCATTTCTGCTGATGTTGCTGTTTGCTTCCGTCCACTTCCTTGACGTGGAGCTACGCTACTAGTATCACTGTAACGAGCGATGTTACGAGACACAAAAGATTTATTCACATTTAAATGCTGGAGTGCTCTAACGATAGCCACTTGTGGTTTTGCGGCCAAATATAAAGAAATCACGCTTGAATTCCATCGCGAATAACTTATTTTCTGGACGATTCTCACCAAAATGCTTTTATGCGCTTGTAAACAATATAATGAGCTGTCACTGGAATAATTTTAACAGCTGTCGGACGAGTGGCTTAGGAATGACAGCAGCCCGATGTTGTTGTCATTTTTTCATCTCTCATCTATATATCTTCAGCCGATTTCGACTTAACTGTGCACCAAATGGCCAATATCAGTCCAAATTTAGTCTAGAAGAAAGTACATTGAACTTGGTGAAAATCGGTTCAGATATAGCTATTGCTTCCATATATCCGATTTGGCGTCTAAGTCCCTCACATTCGTAATATGCATTTGACGACAATGAGATTTGTCTCCGTCAAATTTAGTGAAAATCGATTCAGAATTAAATATGCCCTTCATATATTAGTTCCCTCTGAAGCCAAACTATAACTGCTCTAAAGCCAAATGTAGATAGGAGGTATGATCTACTTCAAATAATTTTTTTTGTTAAGGGAGCTCTACTAAGTATGCATAGTGGTGTAGGGTATCATATGGTCGGCCCCGCTCGGCTTTTGACTTTTCCTTACTGGTTTAACATGGAAATTGCTGCCGAAAGATGTGTTTCAAGTTAAATTGTTTGTCAAATTCCGCAAAAGAAAAAATTCTATGTCAAGACTACACCTTTTTCAGATGTAATTCGAGACATTTTAATTGTAATTTCTGAATTATAGTTGTAATTCGAATCATTGGAATTGGAATTCGAAAAATCCAATTGTAATTCGATTTTTTTCTATTGTAGTTCAAATGGAATAATTCGAATTACAATTGGACTAATCGAAGTACAGCTAAAATATTCGAATTATAAATGGAATTCTCGATTTACGAATGAAATGAATTAGATCAAAAGTTTTTCGAATTACAACTGAAAAAGGTATATATATATATATATATATATATATATATATATATATATATATATATATATATATATATATATATATATATATATATATATATATATATATATATATATATATATATATATATATATATATATATATATTGTAGCAGTAGCGTTTTTACAATAACACAAATATTTTATTACTTTTTACTTTGCTCAAAACTTCTTTAAATAATTTTGTAATTTATTGGAAACAGAACCTTTGTAAAATATTGTTCGTTGTAAATTTTGTCACATTTGTTTTTCGAAAAGGCCTACATAAGGAGCTTCCATAACGAACAATATTCATTCTGTTTTCATAGGTTGGTTAGGATAGTTCAATAATTTGAATAGTGGAGCAATTGGAATACGTGGTAGCTATTCGCAGCCGTTTCCTATTGTTTCCCTCTTTCGATTATTGGAAAATGTTTTGATGTGAAGATAAATGTGTAAACGTGGTGACGATGGTCGCCGTTGCCTTTTATCCTAATATCATTACATATATTCTATTCATTCTGTTTTCATAGATTGTTCCCGTCTACGTTATTATTTTGTTTGTTAAATAAAGAATCGTTATTTTGTAAAAAAAACATTCGCGTTTAAATCCGGAAGGCTAAAACTATCTGCAATTGGCGCTCACTAAAGGATTTCAAAGGAGAAAACAACGTACCTCGTTACAAATTGGCGCCCAACGTGTGAGGTCGGATCAACGCCAAGAAAAGCCGTGGAGAAGAATTATTATTGGATAAATCTCGATTTTTGTTCTTTCTGATTAACAAGATAAGGAACATCCTGTCTCAAAAAAGCGACCGGATACAAAGAAGTACAAACATGGTTTCGCTTACCACTGAACAATTTGAAAGTCTTTTGAGTGCTGTAAGTAAATCCAGTGAAAAGTGTGGTTCATTCAGCGGCTGTTCAGCACGATACAATGGCGAACGATGTTCTGTGAAAGTTGAAGAATTTATATCGGCTATAACGACATACCAGGTTGTTGAAGGTATTGCTGACGCTAATGCTGTTAACGGTATGCCAATGCTACTTCAAGGTGATGCTGCAGAATGGTGGCGTGGTGCTAAATCTAAAGCAAAAACTTTCAGTGATGTCTTAAAAATGTTACGTGAGGCATTTGCTCCACCGAAACCAGCATGGCGAATATATGCGGAAATATATGAGCAGAAACAAAGCAAAAATGAACCTACTGATACGTTTATACGTAAGAAGAGAACGTTATTTGCACAGTTGGTGGAAGTTCCAACAGAATCCAGCCAAATTGATATGATATTTGGGATGCTTCATCCTCAAATCAGGGAGCGAGTCTATCACCACAAAGTAAGAACTTTTGAAGAACTCTTGGCAGATGCAAGGGAAGCAGAACTTACAATTCGTGAACGCGTTGTAGTGAACACTGAAACTTTGGAGAGTGGTCCTCAAGGTGGTCTAAAACGTTGCTCCTTTTGTCGGAAGAAAGGCCATACTGTTGACAACTGTTTCAAAAAGAAAAGTGTGGTTGAAGAAGCTACGTCAAATGCTAAGGAGGAAGTACTAAAACCTAAATTGGCTTGCTATGGATGTACAAGTTCCGATACGGTCGAAAGGACTTGTAGGGATTCTAATTCTACTGAGTAGATTTAGAATCGAAGATTATTGTTGAACAGGACGGACAACAATATAAATTTGCAAACTACGACAACACAACAAGTATTCTGACGATACTTACGTTTGTTGTCTGCAAATAAAACACAAAGAAATAAACTTTTAAATTCAAACGTATGACGCTGGCGGTCAATTTATTCGTAATTTAATAGATCTGGCGATCGACACTTTTATTTCTTTTTACTTCAAGAAGAAGAGTGGTAGGTTTTTTATTGTTGGTGGTGATGGGACCTCATCGATTAATTATTTATCCAGGTCGATGAGGTCCATTTCGATATCATCATCCAAGGGGTTGGGAAGATTCCCAACATGCCGGGCCCCTTGCACTGGTGCAACTGATAGTGCAGTCGCTATCCTCTCCAGCACATCTAAAACCCTATCCAATCTAACAGGTTGTTGTTGAGCTTCCGAAATGTTGTGATCTTGCTCAGTTTGTTGTTGCTGATTTTTATTCTCTTTTTTGGATAGTTGACTTTTTGAATGTGGATTTTTGTTGGCTGTCTGTTCTTTGCCTCGATTTTGCTGCATTTGGCCTTGTTGCTGAATCTTTTTAGCTTGGTTTTGCAGAACCCTCGCCTTCTTCTGGAGTTTTTTGGCTTCCTGTTGAAGTCTTTTTGCTTCTTGTTGTGAAGTTGAATTTCTTATCTGCTCTGGTGTATAATTTCTTTGCAGACCACTTAGTATTTGTTGTTGTTGTCGGCGTTGTGCGTCCCTTTGATTGGCGTATGGATGAAATTTTGTTGCCGGTAAGTTTCCAATTATGAAGTTATTGCCACGTTCTATTTTTGTTGGTTGCGATGAATGGTGAAGCAGAGTGTTGTGCCGAGCACCACACAGTCTACAATTGCCTGGCCATAAACAATTGCGGACAAAATGATTTTGCCCCAAGCAATTAATGCAGTACTTTCGGGATAGTACTACGCTCTCTCTCTGCTCCACAGACATCATCTTGAAGGCTGCGCAAAATCTCAATGGATGCATGCCAAAGCACACCCTGCATTGTTCCATTTGGCCCATATTCATGATTATACAACTGTAATTAATGTAAAGAGAGAAGACAATACAGACGAAAAGGGTGCCATTTAAGGCATGACATGTTAGTCAGAGTTATATCTTTTCGAAACACATACACTACTTTCTACTAACAACCACTGACTGGAAGTACACACAATTTAACAATTGGACGAGATATGATACCTGTTGTAGTTTTTACATCAACTACTCTTACGTGGTCATCATGTCCTTCATATACTTTTAAAACTCGTCCCATCTTCCAGTCATTCGATGGCAAAAGTTCATCTTTTATCAAAACCATGTCGTTTTCCTTCAGACTCCGTTGGGGATACTGCCATTTATATCGCTTATGCAGCTCTTGAATATATTCATTTTTCCATCTCTTGCTGAACATGTGATGAAGAGCTTTAATCTTTTCCCACCGATTTATAAGTGATAAATCTTCCGTTGGCATTTCTGGAGCAAATATCAGTGACCCTCCTCTCAGAAAGTGCGCTGGTGTTAAAGCTTCCAAATCCTCTGGATCTTCAGATAACGGTGTTAACGGTCTCGTATTTAAGACACTTTCAATTCTGACTAAAATCGTTGAAAATTCCTCAAAATTGAATTTTCTATCTTTCATTATCTTTTGGAAATGAGATTTAAAACTTTTAACACCTGCTTCCCATAATCCTCCCATATGTGGAGCACTGGGAGGGATAAATTTCCATTCGAAGCCATTGACTATGTACTTTTCACATACTTCTTTGGAGCATTTCTTAAGAAATTCTTGATATTCTCTCATAAGTATACTATTCGCCCCCACAAAATTTGTTCCATTATCAGACATTAAACATCTGGGCAAACCTCGTCTACCTATGAATCTCGCAAATGTCGCAAGAAAAGCATCACTTGTTAATGCTGAACAAGCTTCGAGGTGAATCGCCTTTGTCGAAAAGCATACAAATATACAAACATACGACTTTTGGTAAGGGGAATTTCTTAAAGAACCTGCCTTAATCTGAAATGGGCCTGCGAAATCTGCTCCCACATATGTAAAAGGAAGAGTGAAAGACGTTCGTTCCAAAGGTAGTGCTGCCATTATCTGTGATTTAACCTTATGTTTATATCTTGTACAAATCAAGCACTCATGAACAATTTTCTTTATTGTCCGTCTTAAACTCGGAATATAAAACTGGCTTCGAACGGTTGACATCATTAACGATATGTCTGCGTGCAGCATAGTTTTATGGATGAATTCTAAAAATATTTTACAGAAATGCGACGAATTTGGCAATATTATTGGGAATCGTTCATCATGGGAAATGTTAGCGATCGCTAATCGACCATTCACTCTTATTATGCCATCTTTATCCAAAAACGGATTTAGTGCGCGCAATGTGCTTTGACGTGAAATGTCTTTCGAATTGCTTAAATCATTATACTCTTGCGGATAATGAAACATTTGGGTTGTTCGGACAAGAACCAATTTTGCATGATTTAACTCTTCGTGAGACAGAATCTTACCATTTGACAACTCAGACTTTTCATTTTTTTCTTTACGCTTTTTCATACGAAATATGTATCCTACTACCCACAATGCTTTGTTGTAAGAAGAAAACTTGTTTATTATCAAATTATCTTTATCAATAATTGGTGCACAATGAACAACTATTTTTCGTTGTTCTGGTGGATCTTGTAGAATTATACTTGATTTTGGCCAATTATTTTCAGTACTAAGTAACCATATTGGACCATTCCACCATAGCGAATTACTACATAAATCTTCAGTACTAGAACCTCTAGTTCCAAGATCTGCTGGATTACACTTTGTAGAAACGTGTCTCCATTTACCATTTTCAACATTCTGAAATATTAATGCAGTTCTGTTTGCAACATACGTATTCCATGTGGATGGATGTTTTTGCAACCATCCCAATACAATTGTTGAATCTGTCCATAAATGAACAGAATAATTTTTAATAGTCAAATTTGAGACAACATATTTTACCAAAGATGAGAGCAATACGGCACCACAAAGCTCTAGTCTTGGTAAACTTATTTTTTCAATGGCGCAACTTTGCTCTTGGCCATCAATAATTTTACAGTTGTGCTGTTCTCTGTATTCATACGAATATATATTGTAGCACAATAGGCTTTCTCAGATGCATCACAAAAACCATGTATTTGAATTGTGCCCTCTAGGCAAAAATTAATCCATCTTGGGATTTGTATTGAATCAATTTTTGAAAATTGTACCACAAAATTTTTCCATTTAATCAATGTGGATGATGACACTTTATCATCCCAATTAATGCCTTCTAACCAAAGGTCTTGCAACAAAATTTTAGCTTGTACGATTAAAGGCGTTAACCACCCTGCTGGGTCAAATAATTTTGAAACTGTTGACAAGATTTTCCTTTTAGTTATTTGGCCAGTCACCTCTAGTGACTTCATACTATAAGAAAATGAGTCGGTAATGGCATTCCACCGAATACCTAATGTTTTTGTTGAACTCATATCTTCAATTCTCAAAAATTCTTCATTTAATAAATCCTCTGATCGGACGTTTGAAAGCAAACTCGGATGATTTGCCGTTATCTTTTTTAACGGAAACCCTGCCGAATGCAATGTATCAATTAGTTGTTTTTGCGCCTCTAGCGCTGAAGCAATAGTATGACCTCCAGTCAAAACATCATCTACATATAGCTCGTTTTTTATTATTTTAGACGCAATTGGACTTTTTTCACTTGACTCTTCTGCCAATTGCAACAATGTGCGAATCGCCAAATAAGGAGCACAATTTATACCAAAGGTAACTGTGCATAACTCATAATCTTTAACTTCTTCATTAACGTCTTTCCTGAATAATATTCTTTGATACTGCCTATCAGAAGGATGCACATAGATCTGTCGGTACATTTTCTCAATGTCACCGTTAAACACATACTTATACAAGCGCCAATTTAAAATTACAGATACTAAATCATTTTGTAATATTGGCCCTGTATGCAAAACATCATTTAAGGAATACGAGCTTTTCGTTTTACTCGATCCATTAAAGACCACTCTCACTTTTGTGCTAGTACTTTCTGGTCGAAAGACAGCATGGTGTGGTAAATAATATGAATAATATTTTCCATCGTTACAAATTTCTTTTGAATTGGTAGGCTTCATGTGTCCTAATGACAAATACTCATTCAAAACATCATTATACGATTTTTCTACTTCTTTATTTTTCCTCAATTTTGCTTCCATATGCTCATATTGCCTCTTTGCTTTAAATCTGGACGAATCTAAATATTTTTTATTGGGAAATTCATCTTTAAATGGTAATTTTACAACGAACTTTCCATCTGAACGACGGTAAGTCGTATTTGCGTAAAATTCCTCACAATAGTTGTCCGATTCTGTAGCAATTGGAACGTTATTGACTTCTTCTTGTTCCCAGAATTTCTTTAAGGCGGAACTAATGTCATCTTCGCTATGTTCTTCTACTTCTACTGAAGCTAAACAAATTTCATTTGATTTTATTGGCCCATAGATGTACCAACCATAAATGGAATTTTGAGCTACCATGTTTCCCAATATGTTCTTCTTAACACCTTCCAATATTATTTGTGGGATAACATCGCTCCCAATTAGCATATCTACTTGGGCAGAAATCATAAACCCAGGATCTGCTAATTTTAATTCTTTTATACTTCCTAAGTCCGAAATTGATACTGTTTGTGTCGGCAACAAACTCGTTAAATTTTGAACAATTAATGCTTCAGTTTCAATTTCGTTGTTGATTGTGTCTGAACACAGCGTCAGCATACATTTTTATTGGAGTTTGCAACGACTGTTCCACTCAGACCACTTATTTTAAAATTTGCCTTTTCTGTGCAAAGTCCAATTCTTTTTACAATTTTCTGGGTTATAAATGTTCGCTTAGAAGCAGAGTCAATGAGCGCTCTAACAGTAAATAGTTCCCCAGC